CTGGGCGGCAGAGTGAGACTCCAACTCAAAAAAAAAAAAAAAAAGGCGCACAGAATGCCAGACACAAGTGACACAAGGCGTCTGTGAACTCAGATGCAATTGTTCCCACAGCAGATGAGAACAGGCATTTGGCCGCCTGGTTTGGACCCCTGGTTCAGAGCCTTCCCAGCCATGTGGCCTTGGGCAAGTTCGGGCTTTCCAGACCTGTCGGATGAGGGTATAACGGCCTACCTCGTTGGTTGTTTTAAACGTTAAATGAGTTACTATTCTAACCACTCTGTGAGGAAATCACCTGGCACTACCGGAGGCTCCATAAGCATTTGCTAATTAAAAGGCATTTGTAGGCCGGGCTCGGTGGCACAGCCTGTAATCCCAGCGCTTTGGGAGCCCGAGGTGAGTGGATTGCCTCATCCCGCGGGTTTGAGACCCGCCTGGGCAACTTGGCGAGACCTCATCTCTACAATAAATCAAAAAATTAGCCGGGCATGGTAGTGTGCGCCCGTAGTTCCAGCTACTTGCAGGGTTGAGGCCAGAGCCCAGCAGGCGAGGCTGCGGTGGCCAGGAGCGGCCACTGCACTCCAGTCAGGGTGACAGGGTGAGACTCCAACTCAAAATAAAATAAAATAAAAAGGCATTTGTAGAACTTAAGATTCACTGAGAACTTTTAGCCGGTCCCTCCGGAGGAGTCAATGCTTATGACAGCTTTGGGAGAACTTAAACTTCGTTTAGGTCGGGACTGACCCTGACTGGAGGGGCTGAATGCAAACCAAGGCTGGCGTCGCAAGCTGTGTCTGCACGCACACCCCTGCGCTCCCCCAGACGCAGGCAGGCCCGCCTTGCTCCGGCCTCCGGGTTCAAGTGCCCACGCCTGCACCCCCAGAAGTGCTCGGCCAGGACCTGTGACGCACTGTCTAAAGCCTTCCCCGCTTACCTTCAGGAGTCAGTCTCAAGTGTATTCATGCCGCCCTTGTACAAATATTTACCGCACATGACACTGAGCTAGACACTGTAATCCCACAGTTGGAGTCAAACCAAGTCCTGGCCTCAGGAAAATAACAGTGGGGGGGAGGGGACAGGCCCAGATGTCCTCTGTGGGAGGCCAGAGGAGCAGGGTAGGAAGGGCCAGGAGGGCCTCCAGGAGCAGGCGGGGTTTGCCCCTCATTGAAGCCAGAGGAGGAGTTGGACGTGGAGAGGTCTGGAGGAGATTCGGAGCCTTGGGCACCGCCCGGGACAGCCAGCTGCCGGCTGCGCTCAGCCAGGCTTAGAGGTGACTTAAGGAACATGGCCCAGCCTCCAAGCCTGGGTCCCAATGAGGCCAGGGCTGAGCTCTGCGAGCGCCGGGAGGCGCGTTTCTGGAGACACGAGGCCGTGACGGTGAAACGCCCTCAGCCCTGTGGCCTTAGGTTCCCCGACAGCCTCCTCCTCCTCTCCCGTTGGCAGACTGGCTGCCGACTCCCCAGCTCAGCCGGGTCTTAAGCACAGGGAATCAGAACGGCGCATTTCCAGGAGCTGACCCCAGCTCCCCACAAAGCAGAGAGGCTCGGGTTTCTGAGCTTGCTGTGGGCCTGGGACTTCATTTACTTCCAGTCACTGGGCCCCCACAACTAGGTCCCACACCCGCCGTACCCTGATTTTTTTTATGAATCGAGATCTCACTCTGTGGCCCAGGCTGGAGAGCCGTGGTATGATCATAGCTTACTGCAGCCTCGAACTCCTGGGCTCAGGCGAGCCTTCCACCTCAGCCTCCCGAGTAGCGGGGACTACGGGAGCACGCCCCCATGTCTGGCTAACTTTTTCATGTTTTTGTAGAGATAAGGTCCTGCTCTGTTGCCCAGGCTGGTCTTGAGCTCCTGGGCTCACACAGTCCTATCGCCTGGCCTCCCGGAGTGCTGGGATTACAGGCGTGAGTCACCACACCCGGCCTGTCCTGACATTTTACAGATGCAGATTCTTTTTTTTTTTTTTTTGAGTTGGAGTCTCACTCTGTCGCCCATGGAGTGCAGTGGCATGCTCCCGGTCACTGCAGCCTCAACCTGCTGGGTTCTGGTGATCCTTCCAAGTAGCTGGAACTACAGGTGCGTGCTACCACGCCTGGCTAATTTTTTTTATTTATTGTGGAGATAAGGTCTCCCCAAGTTGCCCAGGCAGGTCTCAAACCCACGGACTCAGGCAATCCATTCACCTCGGCCTCCCAAAGCACGGGAGTACAGGCTGAGCCACCGAGCCCGGCAGATTCTTTAAAGGTTCACAGGGTGAGCGACTTAACTCTGAGTCACGTGGCTGGGAGGGGACCGAGCTGGGATGGAACGAAAGCCTGTTCTTTCTCCTGGATCAGGAAGAATCCACACGTTCCTGGGTCTTACAGAAGAGGCTGCTGCCCGCTGGGGACCTTCTGGGGAGGAGCCTGCTGTCTGAGGGACAGCCGTCACTTGACACCGCGTCCGGTCACCCGCTCTGGGCTGGGCCTTCCCCCATGGGGCTGCGGCGGCACCTGGGGGTGGGGGAGGGTGGGCCTCACGTTGCCCCCATGCAGCAGCAGCGTTTGAACAGCCAGGGAAAGACCCGGTTGGACGGCACCCTTTTGAGCCCTAGCACTCGCGTTTCCAAGCCCTCGGGAGGTCCCCCTTGGCAGCTCCCAGAGGACCGTTCTTTCGGGGAGGCTGCACGGTCCATTTCTTGAGTATGAAGGCGTCGGAAGGATGCTGTCAAAGACCTGTCGTTCTGTGTTCCGTCGTTCGAAGGCCGCCTTACGCTTTTTCTGTCCTGCCTCATGCAAGCACGCTCCCAAGGGACAACCCCACTACTGCAGACGCCCACGAAGCAGGACTTGTCTCTCTGGAGGCTGTGGTCCCAGGACAGAATCCTGTCGCCATCCCAACCCCCCTGATCTGCAGGACGAGGTGTCAGGGTTCAAGCGACGGTCGTCTCTGCCTCACACGACCTCCGCAGGCAGCCTGGGGAAAGCGCACCTGACAGCCGGGACCCCATCAGATGACTGGGGCTTCCTCTTCAGGCAAAGAAAGTTAACTCGCCTTCATTCAGCACACGGGGCACCTGCTGTGTGCAGCCAGAGCCTTAAGAAAGGGGCGCTGGAGGCCGTGATTCCACCCCTGCGCCCGGCTCATGTCCTGGTCACTGTGTT